CACTGGTGACATGAGCTAACGTTCTTATGTTTTAGAATATTCCTTTCCCCTTTGTATCCAGATTTCTGGTGCTAGTTCGGAAGCTATTCTTGAAAACATAAACAACTTATATGTTGAGTATATTGGATGTAGTAACGTCTTATATTTGGGACGGAGGGAGTAGTTCTTGTGTTCTGCTAGATTTTCCCTCAAATATAACTTTTGGGGAATGTGCTAGATGCCCTAAAGACCAACTTGGTAAATTAAAATGGGCCAATTCTGACAGTGTGGTGATTGTTTTCCTTCATAAATGACACTTGCAACTTACTTGGCTTCTATCTGTGGAGCTCCTTGTCTCTGATAGCATGCAATCTGGAAAACAATGCTGGAGTCAAACATCGCAAAAAAAAACACGAATGATAGAACTGCGTGAGAAGAAAAGGCCGCTCACATTGTGCTTCTTCTTCCATGTAGCCCGAGTAACTGGCTGACGAAATGCGGGCTGAAAGCTCACACTCAGTGAGGGCATTGCCTTGGTCACTTTGCTTCTCACGGCGAAACTCCTACAAGATGTGTATCCTGAAGAGGCAGGGACATTGCACCTTTGAGCTATTCAGCAAAGACAGATAATCAGAGACATGGTTTGTAGAATCAGTCTACGAATCAGCCGCCGCCTACGAATCAACCGTACGCAGAGCAAAGCCTCGCCGGCGATCCCCGCCGCAGCTCGTCGTATAGTCGAAACCGGCGCCGGGGACGGAGCAGTAAATCGCGGGGCTGAACCACCCTACTTGCTAGCCGGGAAGATGAGAAAGAGAAGGGGGGATGGTCATAGATCACTTACGAGGCGAGGCGAGCCGGCGAAGATCAGCCGGCGGCCGGAGCAGCCGCGCCTGAGCCGCCGTGGGGCAGGCGACGGAACCCGACAGCTCCATGGCTCCTCTCTGGATCGAGGAGCGCGTGCTGTTCTTCCAAAGTGAGATTAAGCGACAAAAACGCTGCAGTTGGTTAGACTGGATTATCCAGAGGATTAAGTAAGGATCAGAATCTTTTCATTCCTATCCGATTCAACTCCACTCGGTTCCGATTCAGAAAGCGAGGGACTGAATTTCTTTCAGGAAAAAAATAAAATAAAACAAAAGAACAGGTGGAACTTTCCATCTGGGCCCCTCGTACTAATCTCAAATGCAAGTGCATCCCCAGGACCCGACTGTAAAATTGCCCCAGCTCACACTGGGAAATCCACACCAGACAGTGTACGCTTGCAGTCTTACAGTTACAGCAGCATCCATTTGGAAACAAGAGACTAAATAAATCGGCAGGAACATGACAAAAATAATATATGGACACACCAATAAATATTTAATTTATGTCATCATTATTTTCCAGGACGAACCAAGGGTGCTAGGCTACACACTACACCATGCCCTTATTGTCCAACAGAAGAATTCAGCAGGGAAGAAACAAATGAGATTTTTGCAGAGAAACAAGAACAGTAGAGCTTACAACACCAGTAGGCTCAGATTATGTGCCCTCAGCCAGCCTTACAACATCACAGCCTAACTAATCTTCCTTTCCTGTGCCCCCCTAGGTTGTTGGGACTGCTAGCTATTCGGCTGGCTCTGCAAGTGACTGCCTTGCTTCAGCTCAGATGTGAACCGCGCACTGGCTTCGCCGCGACTCGCCGCACCATTTCTCGTCCTCAAACTGCTGAAAAGGGTTCGCAGTAAACGAATGTGAGTGATCAGTGTCAACAGAGAAGCGATGAACCAACAAGTGGATGCAGATTGGTGAGGGTTGCAGCATTGCAGGTGCAGTTCATTACCTGTTCTAGCATGAATTGTGGGACTTGCACCCGCTTCGAGCCATCCGCAAGGCGCTTGCAAGGCATGCGAGGCTCGGCTGCTGCAAACTCGTTCAGAACCTGGCAAAATTTAGAGTGGCAACTCGTTCAGAAACAGGAACATAAGATTTATGGCAATACCCCCTATATTTCAACCTAAGATTAAGACGAAACTTGACAATTGATGTTGCAGCAGCTAAGGCTTTTCTCATCACACGGGAGGTTAGAAATTGGCAGTGCCTGGTTTCTGATTGCTCCGATTAACATATCACGGCATCCAGTGACATGAACATCTTTCAAGCTTGGACACTGAAGAAGCAACCGTTCTGCAGAAAGTTTCACAGGCTGTAAATACTCATGCACTAACCATTTATAAGTTTGGACACTGAAGAAGCATCTACAGAGTAGTTCGGTACCGACCGAACAAGAAAGAATTAGGATGTCACACCTGGATTCAGATTTATGCAGGAGTTGAGGTTCAGATCATTCAGCTCTGGACAATTTACACATAGGGCCTGTCATGCATGAAGAGAACAGTAGTAAGAACATAGCTTCATTTTGTACGCAAACAAGAATACAAAAAAATAGTAATCATGAATTTTTGAGCACTTACATCTATTCCAGAACAGCCCCAAAGACTGAGTTTCTTCAGATTAGCATGCTTTATAATCAACTTTTGGTAAGTTGGTTGCTGCTTCCTTGTGATTTGTAGTTTCGAGCAAAACCTAATCCCTCCATTGAGATCACCAAAGTATGATCGGGGTGCTTCAGGCTGCACATTGGCACATAAGCTCTTGCCACAGTCCATGAGCTGAAGAAGTGGCAACTGCGCTGTGGCCACCTGGACCCCATCTACAGATCACATGAACATGAAAACTTTTAGATATTTGCAGCTATGGGCAATGTGATATTTCTGAAATCCCTAGAACAAAGGAGCACAAGCAATGTTAAGGTTCAAACTTACATGAGGTGATATTTGGGCACATAGCAAGGAGCAGTCTAGTTAGGGTATCAGGGAATGCCTTGCTGACCATCCCAAGCCCATTATCAGTGATACAAGATCTGGAGATTAAGCATGCCATGTTAGTTTAGGCTTTATTTTGCATGATTTAAACAAAATATCTCCAAACCATTAGGCTTCATAAAAACCAGCACATACCCGCTTAAATCAAGCAACTCCAAGCTTGTAAAAGAACGAACAATAGATGCAACAGCTGCATCTGTTATTTTTTTACCTAGAAGCAAGGACAGCATGCACAAACCCCTGATGAAACAAGAATAAAATATAAGATGGTCAAAAAGAAATAAGCAAGAATAATATTGAAGTTCAATCAGCTCAATTTCTGAAATTTGACCAACAATCCATATGAACAATAGCAATATGTGAATTTACCTGAGATTAGCACTCCCAAGAGCAAACACAGCTTCATTGCACAAGTGAATTGAGGAGATGTGCAATTTTCTCAAATTTGAGCAGGTGCGGCCCAGACTATCCATCATACTAATAAGGTCAGTAGAATCATTATCTTGTTGGGAAAAAATCAGCGAGAGTTCACTCAAATTTGGACAGTTTATGACCTGTAAGAAAATAACACCCTGATCAATTTATAAAACAGCATACCAAAATAAGTCAACAATTGTAAAAGTGTGTCAACTTACAGATTTTGTAAGGGAGGAAAGATCTGATAGCCAGAGGGTTGAAAGGCTTGTAGAGTTTATATTAAGAAAACCAAGACCACTACAGCGATCTACTTTAAGAACTGTGAGAGACTTCTTCTCCGAAATAAATCTAGTAAGCTCATCCCTGTTTAAGAAAACAAGTGTTTGTTAAAAGATCGCTCAGTCTTATAATCATCTAATCTATCCATAAACTGTCCTGTATAAGTTATTTTTCAGATCATGTAAATGGAGGCAATGCACAGCGTAGCAAGGCAGCGTATGGCAGCATGAAACAACATTCTGATCAGTAAGCACCTTCAACCAATAGTACTGAACAGTTTGCTAGTGCACATTAGTGAATGTGTGTATCATTTACATCTAAGACAACATTAGAAAGCATATATTTCAGAGGACAAAATGCATGAAAAGATAGAATATAACGGGATTTGTGATTTAGGGATGAGGTTCAACATACCCAGTCATCCGGTTGACTGCACTATCAGCCATGCTTATCTCCAGAGATTGCATGTTTGGGCAGGAAAATGCAAGGCATGCAAGCATTGTGGCATCAACACCACTGCATCAAATGTCCAAAAGAACATGGTAATTAGAACATAACTCTCAGTCAAGAAACTGAATGGAACTTTTTGGCCAAAAATAGGTTGGAACATGTGTGGTCTAATCATGACTAAAGTCCCATAGAACTAGATCAAGTTGATGACCCCATTGCAAGAAGAACCATACTAGATTTCATTCAGTATGACAAAACTAATCAAAGTTTCTAACTAAATGTAAGGTTCAGAGAAAAGAAAAAACAGATCTGCCTATTGTACTTTGCATAATTAACTTATAAAATCCCCTGAGGTCATTGGATCAGGAAATATTTTCTCCAAACAAAAAACTGTGACAAAACTAACCAGAATTATACATTTACTTGTATAAATTGCAGCACAAAAACTGAGCTAGGCAGGCATATCTACAAGAGACTTGTGCCCACTTGCACTAACAATGAAATATTCAGCATGTTGCTGATCTAGCATTGGGCACACCGCACACATTATGCATCAAAGATACCACGAACTCTCAGTCACAGATCAAGTCAGGCACCAGTCAGGGATCATATAACGACCTCGCGGTACCATGACTGGATGTATCCCCAAGAAAATCGCATCAAAGAAGCAGATCGGGTTCGCCACAACAAGTCCATTTCTAAAAAGCAGATAAGATTCGCCACAGCAAGTCCATTTCTAAAAAGCAGATCAGATTCGCCACAGCAAGTCCATTTCTGAAAAGCAGAACAGGTTCGCCACAGCAAGTCCATTTCTAATATCTACCATGTCTAGATACCTTTCTTCCTGGAGAATTGCTTACTTGTGTATAGATTCCGATCGGGCACCGATCAAGGGTCCACAATGGTGCGGGATCTCACGGCGCCAGATCGGATCACACATTGGCAAATTGGGTGTAGATCGGGCGTGTTCATCCGTTAGTCCGTCTAAGCGATGGTGAATTAAGCAAGAACGTTCGGTCCGTCGTCCCATTTCGACCAAGATTAGTTGGTTACAGAGATCTGCTCGTGGATCGGCCGGATCGGGTTCGTTTTTTGTGCATTTTCCTAACCTTTCCATGCGGAGCACGAGCCTGGACAGCGCGGGGCACCGCGGCAGCAGCGTCCCGATGGTGCTAACGCCGGCAGCGCGGAGGCGGAGCTCCTCGGCCCCCCGCCAGACCCGCCTCGCGCAGTCACGCCACCCGCGGCTGACGGCCGCGGACGCCGCGACTGCCCTCGGGGCGAGCCGCCGGAGCACCTCAATGACCACCTCCCCCGGCACCCGCACGCCGGAGCCGACCGCCACCAACCCCTGCCTCACGACAGCACCCGACTCGGGCTCCGAATCATCCACGTCCACCACATCCACCCTCGCCTTCTTCTCCGGGGGGCGGTGCGGCGCCGGATACGCCACCGCCACCGGCGTCGCGTCCAGCGCGCCCCCCGCCGCCGCCGCCTCGTCGAAGTGGAGCGCGCGCCTCGGCTTGTGCTCCGCGGCCGGCGCGGCCCCAGCCCCGGCGGCAGGGGGGCCGGGGATGGAGCACACGTGGCCCTTCTTGGGGAGCCCGCAGCGGCCGCAGTTGTAGCTGCCCCGCTTCTTGGCGACCGCCGGCTGCGCGGGGGCGGCGGCGGCGTCAGGCGCGGGGACGACGGACAAGGCGTCGGAGCTGGCCATGGGAGCGGAGATCTGGGGCTGGGGCTAGGATGGGACGGACGGGACCGGATGGGATTGGGTAGCCAGGGTAGGGTTTGATGGGGGGAGTGTGGAGAGGCGAGGAAATAGAGGGTGGGGCGAGACAGACAGGGCGGGAGAGGGGCGCGGGGTTGGCGCCATTTCTCTGGCGCGCGAGCTCTTTCTTCCCCTCTTTTTTCCATTTTTGGTTCGGTTTTTCGGGTTGGCGCCGCGCGCGGAGGCGGACGCGGGGCTCTGGGGGTTTTGGGTGGTTTGGGTTCTACGGTGGCTGCATGTGTGCGGGCCGAGTCAGACTCGATCGGATCGGAGCGCCCCGTAGGCTCGGTCTTTGGCTGCGTGCGGTGCGGACGGGGTCTTCCAGCTGGGCGGCTGGTGGCTCCCTCGTGGACCGGCTCCACGCCGATACTGGGTGGTGAATATCTTCCATATTTATGAGTGCAGATTACGCAATTTCACGAAGACGTGGTGAGTATTGAGCATTTATGGGGAGATTTCGCGGTTTTCACACAAGCGTTGGGTTATTTTATTTTTTGGTATTTTTTGTCGTTGAAACCAACATTGGACACACCGCACCAGTGTTTCGCTGCACTTGCGTCAAATGCTCGTTATACCGGCGTTTTCATCCGTCCAGAAATAACCATGGAGCAACGCATGGTAATAAAAGATCTATTCACTTTAAAAGATCCACATGTGAACATGGTAGAAAACGGGAGGGGCGATATGACCATCAGGTGCTCTAGCGTCTCCTTGAGTGATTTCGAGGCAACCATGTTAGGCGGGGTGTCTCGTGTTGTTGTCGTTGTCTTTGCGGCCCTCGTCTAGCGAGGCTTGTCGGGGTCTGGTTGTGGGCCTAGGTCGATGTCTGCTCCGATGAGGATGAGGGGTCGGTGACCTCCAAGGGGGAACTCTCACCTCATGTGAGATCATTCGACGTCACGCTCGGCCACTTTGTGTCGTGGATTTGTCACGGCAGAAGTCCTAGTGAAAGGACTTAGTCGTGGAGCCATCGCTACGGGTTTACTTGAAGGGGTTAAAGCGGACACAGAGACACGAGGGTTTATACTAGTTCGGCCCCTTCGATGAAGGTAAAAGCCTACGTCTAGTTGTGATGGAATTGATGTGGTCTCGATGGCTAGGGAGCAAACAAGTTTCGCCTAGGCTCGAGTTGTGGTTGTCTGTCTTGAACCGCCGCCGGGTCGTCCCCTTATAAACACAGGTGACGCCCGTCGGTCCTCAAAGTCCCAACCGGTTCATACTCGTATCCCGGCTGGTACCTCTCTATTCCTAACTTACAATACAAGTTATACATTAGGCCGGTTTACGGCTACGGGTTCTAAATCAACTACAGGCCTTGGGCCTTCATCTGTTTATACCACTAATGAAGCTAACCCGGCCCAAGTAAGCCGGTTTACGCCCAGTGGTAATATCCCCAACATTAGGCTCCAGATTGATTTGAACCAGGTTCATGTCAATCCTTCCCAAAATCTTATGTCTTGGACATCTTCTGGTAATTGGTAAACCGCCATGTTGTCATCATTTCTGGTTGCTGTAAACCGGCATGACGTCATCATGAAATTTATCATTTATAACACCCTCCTTTATTAATAGCTCCTGGATTCGCACGCTTGACCTAACTCTGTTGCCTTATAAATAAGACCGAAGGGTCATTTCCTTTTCTTTCCCTTCGTCTCTTCGTCTTCGTCTTCCTCGCATCGCCAGCCTTGGAGCTCCGCCGCCGCCATCGACCTCTGCCTCGTCTTGGGCCGCTGCATCAACCTGAACGCACCAGAGTACTGCGGTATCCTTCCGCGTCTTCTCCGTTTCCAGTAAGCTTTCTTCTCTTCTTGATCTAGATCTGTTCTTAGGGTTTCATGTTCGCGCTGTGTTCGTCGCTTGCTCATACTCGTACTCTGATTCTTGAATGAATCTGTGAACCCCTGCTGTGTTTAGTAGCAATCTTTGAACATCCGCCTGTAATTTCTCATCTAAGTTCATAGATCTCACGCACATACCCGCTCAATGGTTCTCTTCCGTTCTGCCTTACTCTTCAGAATTTTTTCTGTTTTTCTGAGCTTGTTGTAGATCCACAGCTGTAATAGGATCTTATGAAACCTGTTGCTGCATACCTAGCTGTCCATAACTTCAATTGCTTCCGATGTTTAGGTCTGGCGGTTTAACTTACCATAGAAAAAAGTTATTAAACCGGTATATACCATTAGTCCCCTTGTTGAACCGCCAGAATCCATATGATGCCGCATCGTAGAAAACCGGTTTATAGATATTGCCTCCGGTTTAGCGTTGTTCAGACCAACACCTTCTTTTATCCAACATATTCTTGAACCGGATCACCTATTTCTTGTAGATCTCGCCATGGCCAAACAAGTATATGAGTGCAATTGGGTTCCCTCTCGCGTCACAGAATCTCAGTTGGATGATCTAGTCCTGATCGGCGCTTTAGACAACAAAGATACGATCCACTGGAGGGTTCCTGGAAATGAATGTCCTCCCACACCTCAAGAGGGAGAGGTTGTGGTCTTTGCAGATCACTTGGCCCAGGGCTTCAGACCGCCTGGTTCTAAATTTTACCGGGATGTGTTAGCCAACTTTCAGCTCCGTCCACAGGATATTGGCCCCAATTCCGTTACCAATCTATGTCACTTTCAAGTACTCTCTGAGGTATACCTTCAAGAGGAGCCTTCAGTCGAGTTGTTTAGAGATTGCTTCCATTTAAACCGTCGCACTGAATTTACCGACGGCCCCAATATTGAATTGGGCGGTATGGCCATTCAGAAGAGGAAAGAGATTACTTATCCCCACGTCAAACTCCATACTCACCCCAAGGAATGGAATGCAACTTGGTTTTATTGCAAAGATACCTCCCCTGACAATGAAAATCCCTTGCCTGGCTTCCGTCCGGAACGGCTCAGCAACACTCACCCTTTTCCACAAAGACTAAGCGCCAAGGAGAGAATTAAATATGCTCCGCAACTGTCCAAACTCCGAGCCTTTATGGCCAACGGTTTAACAGGAATAGACCTTGCACGCTGTTGGATATCATGGAGCATACTGCCTCTGAGCCGGCGCTCCGGTTTGATGTGCAAGTATACTGATAGCGTCGATGACCCACTCCGACACACTAAAATCCAACTCTCCGACGATGAAGTCACAGATTCTGTAAAGAAGATGTTGAATGAACCGGAGCACCTCTGTGCTCAAACCGGTCTGCTTCCTTACTGCACCACCAACAAACCGCCAGCGGTAAGATTTTAATTGCTCTATTGTTGAACCTGTTACTGCTTTATCTGTCTGACATTAATTACTGCTGAACCAGGGTGATAATCCATTTTGGAGCAAGAAGCTTCCACAAGACAAAACGGAGAAGGCAGGGCGATCAACCCGGCCCAAGACCAAGGTTATCAAGAAGCCAGCTCACAAGAGAAAAACCACCGCTTCATCTGATCCAGCTATTGATGATGATGTGGGTAACCCGGACCTTGAGGTAGAACTTGATTCACTAGGCTTACTTTTTACACGCCTTATTGATGATGATGCTTGTCAGGACGATGCTGAAGCCAGCAATGCGGAAGTCGCTGAGGTAACTATTCTCTATTCCGATTCAGAAATCTTGCCTTTGCCAAAATTTCGCCTGGCAAACCGGAAAGTTAAATTTTCTCATCCTCTTGCTTACTTGGATCCCAAATTTCTTATGAAGACTCAGCAACATGAAGCTCGCCGCACAACCCGGCACAGTGGCCAGGTAGTTACCTCCGCCGGTTTACCAAACAGTCCGGTTCGAAAACGCCGCTCCGAGGTCTCCGACCTTTTTGTTGATTTAAATCCTAAAGCGGGTTTCTTCCGTCAACCTCTTAATCCATCCGACTCCGATTATCAGGTTACTTCTCATTCATCCTCTGGTGAATCATCGGCCACTCAGCTGCCACCATTGAAAACGGTTCTTGGGTAAGCTAATGTTGAACATATGCTTCCAGTATACTGTGTAATGGCTTATGCTGTCCCTTAACTCTTTGTTTTTCTTTCAGGGCCAAACCTAAACCAAGCAAGAAGGCCCGCCTGGATAAAGCGGCTGAAGAAGATGTAGCCCCAGAACATGACAAAGCGCCAGATCTTGAAGCGTTTGCTCCTGAGGATATTCCCAATGATCCTCTTTTGCAAGACGATGCTATTCCCGAAGAAAGGCCTATTAACACTTCAGTCTCCGCTAACCCGCCTGCCAGCTCCGTCCGGATTGAGAAATCCCACAGTCCTGCTGACAAACTGACCGCACCAACACAAACCGGCGAGTCCAAAGATGATGATGTTGTGATTACCGGTGTAGGTCGCTTTGAACCCGGGAATCCTGTCACCTTAACCAAGCATACCGTAAAAGAAGATTTTTCCGCTCTGAACAAAGGAAAATGGGATGTTGAACTGGAGACATATGCTGCTCTGAGTGCCCACGATCTTCATTCTGGCTATTTAAACCGGCTTTATACTAGCCGTGACTGTGAAGCTAGTCTGGTAAAGATGATGAGGGATAAATTTGAGGTAACTTACTTTTTTACTTACTGCCATTGTATCAGTCCTCCTAGCCCCCAAGGGCCGGTTTGTAACCTTCGTCAAATCGGGACTTGAACACGATCCTCAACACTTTGAAATCCATCAATATAGCCCCTAAGGGCCGGTTTAACTTAGCATAATTAAACCGAGGCTCAGAAAAAAAACTATCCTTAGAACATAATTTGATCAAATAGCCATTAGCCCCCAAGTGCCAAGTTGAATACCTGTATTGAGCTTGGGACTTTGCAATCTAATAATATATGAAAATTGAAGGTGCATTAGCCCCCAAGTATCAGGCGTATAACTTTGTTATGTGGTTGATACTTCAATTTCTTGGACCGCTTGTTTAAAGCTAAATATTGTCTGTATGCAGGCTGAGGTGAGAATCAAGGAGGACCGGATTGCCGATTTGCAGGAGACCTTGA